TACAAGTTGTATTAGGGTCACTTTTAGTGGTTAAAAAGTGGTCAATTTCTTCAAATTCATGTGAACTTCTTAAATATTTTCAATTGAATAGGCGTCATGAAATTACAATATGCATGTATGTATAGAAGTTGTAAATCTCACACAGGACTCTACTTAAATCAATATATCAAAGGACTTCTTCAAAGTGGGACAGAAAATTTTCACTGGAGCATGATAAAGCCCCACTCAACAGCCAACCACTGGGCTAAATATTACATTTAATTTGCTAAATTAAAACAAGCACCTAAATCACATAACACAAGATCACAGTTCAAGTTGCATTCGCGAACGATACAAGGTACCGGCCACTGTAGCCTAGTGGTTGTCACATCAGACTCATGGCCGGTAGACCCAAAGTGTCATAGATTTGAAGTGTCATTCAGGATTTAACAAGTCATTGAAAATTACACAGTCACTGTAAAATTTTTTAAAGTTCTCTTTGTGCTTGTCATATTAAAGCTCAGGGGTAGTCACAAGCGTGTTCTCAAAACAAGTGGCGTATACAACAGATTTATTTACATCAAATTTGTGTTGCATGACGACCCCTCTGGTTTAAGACATAGATCACAAGTGAAAGCATGTCCAAGTTATCACATTTCAAACAAACAAGATGGCCACCAGTCGGCCATATTTGATCAAATTGCGAATTGAATTGACTTGTACATCAATTTATGACATGCTAAATATCAATGAAAATGATACATGGGTGACAGAGATATACTGTATTTATCCGGGTATAAGCCCAGGGTCCTGAACATGGAAAATTGCCAAAAAGAAGGGGTAGGCATTTGCCAGGAGATCCCCGGCAAAAAAAAACGAAAATTCATGAAAAATGACAACACACAGATCGAACTGCGGCAGGGAATAGAACAGCAAATGAAAACATGCAACGAAAATAAATGAACAATATGCAACACTAGAAGTAACACAAAATTAATGTATTGCTTATAATGTGACAAATAAACCAGAAATAATAAGAATCAACAGTGAAGAATCATTTGAATTAGGATTTTCCCGCCGACAAACACGCCCAATACGTGTGAACTCAAAATGAATTAAAATGTCAGGGGTTAAACTGCGTAAAATGATTTCCGGTCTCTCAACAGTCATACAAAATCAAAAATAATTTACAAATTTACACAGTAAAAATAATAAAAATTCACAGCTGTTTGAAAAAACTTCTCAGAACTTTATTTGTACATTCATTGCCATCTTCGTCAAACTCAAAACTCTCAAATGTCCAAGTTGGCGTCACTGTAGCCGTCGAACAAAATCCCTACAACTTATTCCTGAAGTTCGTCGATATCGTCCCACACAATTTGGAGTTAGCACTTTTAATCCACGGATTTCGCAGTCTGTCAGCTTGGCACTTTTCATTCATGTCTAATCATAATAAAGAGACAAGAAAAATGGGGTCGCTCTGCTGCGATGGCACACGATGCTTTTGTTTACAGTCTAGCAATCATCTTTGACCTTTATGCATCTGCTTTACTGATTGGCTAAGAATGACATCACTACTAGTATTTCATCATAAAGGTCAAATAGTGACATTGCTTTCTTATCAGACTCGACACTTATTACATGTAATCACGGTGAAAGTTATCATTCAACAAGTTCTGGCGGTTGGAATGTCTCACTATATGAATATCGCGGTGGACTTGAAATAGGAAGTTTTTTTTTATCCAACTACAGAAGAATAATTTTCCTGACAGAAATGCAATAGCGGTGATAAAAGATGGTAAAAAAGTTGGCAGTCTTCAGCGTGACATTGCAAAATTGCTGGCCCTAGTTATGGATTCACAAGCTGCTACAAAATATTTATAAAGCCAAAATACGTGATTTCAACCATTCTCCCAGGTACGGGTTGCTACAATATTGCAACATTGTTTTCATTGTCGACGACGCTAAAGCCGAACGAGTGCGACACTTTACTTAGCGGCTCTCCTTATACGATTTGCTTGAATCGTTTCTGAGGAAGCACAAACCAAACGGCCGGCCCTTTTTAGGGCCACGCCATATTTCAAACATAGTTGAACTCTGGTGACCTTGCCCTTTGTTATATAATATAATTCCCTTTACCATAGTTTATTTCAATATGAATATACATTGTCATAATTAATTTTGAATACAAACAAGTTTTGGGGTTGAACCAACAGTGGGGAATCAGTCTACCGAATGTCCTTAAAAGATGTA